GCTTTGTCTCTCCGTGGATACACCACGCACATCGCGCTTGGTGTTTACCAGGGCACTCAACTCCCTGGCGAGAAGGGCTGGCGCGCCGGGGAGCAACCAGCCTGCGCTCACCTGCGCATCCCGTTCCACATCTCTCCTTCCCACTCGCTGCCAGCCGCCCCTGTGACCCACGTGAGAGACCCGCGCCTAGGACTGCCCTGCCTGCTCAGCAGGTGGCGGTGCAGCCCCTGGGACGTCTGGCACTGGCACCCGCAGACCTTCCAGCGGGTCGCAGCCTCTAGTTTAGGCCGGGTCGAGGCAGCCTAGTCACCAGCTCTGTCCCCTCAGACGCTCCTGTGGTCGCCTCAACAGCAGCCCACTTCTAAGCCAGTGGCTCCCACAAACTCGCCTTTTATTGTCCCACATTCCAGAGAAACCGAGCACAGGAGGTTTTCTCTCCTTTGGACACTTGCTTTCATATAGCCTGGTGATGACCCAAGGGCTCAGTAACCAAGCAGGGCCCTAACTTGAGATCAAGAAGGGATCATCTACCCTGCCCAATTCCTGGCCCATAGCCTCATCAGTCAGGGCCACCTCTCTGCACTCTGTGTCCTCAGAGGCTTTGGCCTTTTTGTCCTCTGCTTCTTCCTCTGAGTGCTCCTTCTCTTCTCCTGCTCCTCTCCCCTTCTCTCCTTTTCCCTTCCCCTCTTTCTTTCCTCTCCCTTCTCCATCTCCCTCCTTTCTCTCCTCACCTTTCCTCCTCCTTCCTTGCCCTCTACTCTTTCCTCTTCCCCCTCCTTTTCCAGCCCCATTTTCTTTCTCTTCTCCTGCCTCCTGGTTCCTGCTCTTCCAGTTTTTTCTCTCCCATCTTTCTGACCTCTCACTCCTCTTCCTCCTCCCTTCTCTTCCAGGCTAAAACCCTGAAGCCAGCCTCTCCCCCTCCAACCTATTGCTGTGGGCAGGACGTGTTAGGGTGCTGCTGAGGGTCTCCTGACTTGGAGTGGAGTGCTGCCTACCAGCTCCCAGCACAGACCAGCCATTTGAGGTGAGCGTTATAGTGGTTATGGTGGCTGCCATGGCAGCAGCGATACCACTCTGCTTTGGAAGGCTTCATTCAAAACACTGGACAGGGCTGGGGTGTGTCTCAGTGGTACTTAACATGTACAAGGCCCAGTGTTAACATGAAAAGCAAACAAACAAAAACACCATGACAGTCATCCCTTACTGTCTGTCACAGAACCATCTTCCACCTTTGAAGTAGCCACCACTGCACCACCATCAATACAGCAAACTTAGGTCACCATCACTGTGGCTACCAGCATCATCCCTCCCATCTCTTCAAAGTCTCCACTGTCTTCTTCATAATTCAGCCACTTTTGTGACCACCCACAGCATTGTCATGTAGCATGGTCACTAAGGCAGAACTGTTAAGAACTTGCCAAAGTCTCCAGGGAGCAGGTGTAGGAAGGAAAGAGACTCATTGCATCTATTCATCAAGGAGCTCCACTCAGGCACACAGAATAGGCCCAGAACTAAGAGGCAATGTGTGGTGGAGAGGAGAAGGAGGAGGGGAACAGGGGAAAGGAGCTAGAGCTGAGTCTGACTACAAGGGGTGGAGTGCTGGTTCTCTCTTAAACTGGAAGGCTGAATAATCAATTCAGAAAATGAACTTTATTATTTATACCAGTGACTCCACATTTAGCCCTTGGTCTGTGTCAGTACTAGGCCCGCATTCTGTATCACTATATAGTGTCATTTAGAGGAAAACTGTATAGTTTTCTACAGTTTTGCCTTCAATTTCAGGGACTTTTTGAAACCAGCCCTGAACATCAAGTCAGGAGGTACCCAGTGCCAGCAGGGCTTATAGTGATTCCCCCCACACACTTCACAGCTCTGCCTAGAAGCATGTGCTGTGGTCTTCACTGTGGAGTGGAGAGAGAGGAGCCAGGGAGGAGTAGGGTGAGGACAATGGCCACCAGGCTATGGTGGCCTGAAAAGGGCAGCATTTTTAGAAGCTGCATGAAAGCTCCAGGACAGAAGGGCAGCCTCTGGGCCCCACAGGGAGCCCAGGCTTGCAACCCAGACAGACGTTCACTAGGTTGACAATGAGTGTTAGAGCCCCACACAGCACTTTCAGAATCAGTAAATCTTTATAAATTAGTAAGATAGCAAGGTCTTGTTGTACCATGTCTAAAGGAATCTCATCCGAGAAGCCAGTGGCTGGAGAGCCTGCTCCTCAGCCTCTCATCTGACTCCTCTGGACTGGTGGCCCCCACCCTATCCTCTGCCTGCCACCCAGGATCCTACTATTACAGACAACTAAGATGGGTAGAAATATTATAGGCAGTCAAACAGGGCTAGGCCCCTGAGGGAGTCAGTACAGAGATTGAGAACACATTACAGCTGTGGCTGGAGGCACATCTGTTGAAGGCCAGGCCTCAATATAAAGAAGGAATGACCAAGCCTACTTGCCTCCTCAAGGGATAAGCAATAAACTAAAGATTATACCACAATTGATATCATTTTATTGGTCATCTTTATTGTCTAGATAGACATCAGTCACCCAGGTGGGTGACCAGAATCTCCTGATCCATCCCTTCCTAAAAAGGTCCTTGTTCTTTCTATGTACACTTGTTATGTGACCTGTTTTCCCACTGGATCAACATTACCTAAGCAGCTATGCTTGTAATCTTATTATTTGATGATAGTTTGTACCCACCTTGTGATTTTGCTCTATAAAACTTCCTCTGTGAAGTAGGGTCTGAGGCAACTCACTTTTGGGTCTTCTCCCATCTCTCAGGAGTTATCTCTCTCAATAAATTTTTCCTTACTCTTAACCTCCATTGTTCCTTAGAATTCATTCTTTGATTGATTTTGGGGCACACCAAACTCGATGTATCGGACATCTAGAAGGTTAGGAGTTATATTATTTCCCTATATCACTACTGTCCTCCCCTCCCTCCCAGCTCTACCTGAGAGCTAGAACAGGGTGCCTTATGAGAAAGCCTGAAGGGGAACATTCTTCCGTGAGACCTGCGCGCGCACGTGTGTGTGTGTGTGTGTGTGTGTGTGTGTGTGTGTGTGTGTGTGTGTTCTCTAGCTCCCTGATGGCCCCATTCTGGTACCAATCTGGTCACACAGTGGGAGGGGTATAGACAGATAGCTTAGACAGATGGTTAGGCCAAGCCTGGATCCCCCACAGACCTAGCTTTCAGGGTCCCCTCCTTGAGCAGCACCCTCCCCTTGCAAAATGAGTGCATAGGAAAGAGGCTCTATCTTGAGTACCCTTGTGACTCCCAAGGTTTTGGGGGCCAACAGGAATGAACCCAGCCCCCACCCCAGGTGGTGATGTGGGCAGCAGGCAGGAGGGCTCCTTTTGCAGACACCCCACTCTTCTGCCTGACCCAGACTGTGTCTGGCAGCTCCCAGACCTGTTTCTCTTCCTTTGAACTTCCAGGCTGTGCTGTGGGGATGGAGCTGAAGCCTCTTGGCCTCCTGCTACCTGTGCAACCTCCATCTGAGCTACCTCAGGTGGGAGAGGGATGCGCCACCCTGAGTCACTCGGGAGAGACCTGTCCTCTGGCCTCTGCATGTGAAGGCTGGGCTCAGAAGGCTGGGCTCAGAAGGCTTGGGCCTCAACCCTCCATGGTC